GAAAAAGAGGAGTAACTTTATAGGATAGTCAGGGAGAGATATTCTAGCCTACATTAATATCAGAAGTTGAGGAGAAAAGAATCTGCAAAATAAGCAGAACCAGGCAAACAATTTGCATGATGGACAGAGTAAGGTGGAGAGAAACAGTTTTGAAAGACTAATAAATACAGTGACCAATAATGACTTTGTACAATTGACAAGGAACTATGCCTTCAACAAGTGGTAGATGATAGATACAGAATGAAGAATACATTTTCAAATATGACCAAAATATTGATTTATTTTACTTAACTGTATTATGTTGTTACAAGGGAAAACTATGGAAAGAAAGGTATGGGAGAAGGTGGAGGAAAAATCATTTTAAATTTTTTAAGGGAATTAATAATTTTTTTTTAATCCAGCAAATTACTCTGTTCCCTTTCATTCACCTCTTGCTTCAGTGAGAGCACTGTATCAGGGACTTTTGTCTTTACTGCAGTGACACAATTATTTTGTAGACCAAATCAGAACTTCTTGATCACTCTGTGGGTTGCTTTTTGAATTTGCTTCCATGAGGCACCTAGATGCAGGGTTCAGCAAACTACTGACCACAGGCCAAATCTGACACATTTGTTTTTGTATAGCCCAAGCTAAGAATAATTTCTACATTTGTTAATGGTTAAAAAAATCAAAAGAAAAATAATATATCATAATGCATGAAAATTATATGAAATTCAAATTTTGTTGTCCACAAAGAAAAAATTTGTTGGAACCCAGAGTTGTTTATTCATTTACATATTGTCTATGGTTGTTTTGGTGCTGCAGTGGCAGAGCTGAGTAGTTAATGTGGCACTATCATCACTTCAAATAATTGCTCACAATAATAACTTGACAGCATTTTGAGTATCATGCCTATCACCATACAGTGTTATTTTATTTTATTACCAGCATATACCTATCATGTCAAAACAAGAGAAGAAGAGGGAAAAAATATAATTTTTTTGAGTTTAGGACCAAGATTAAAATTTTTCTGAATGGGAAAAACTGCCTTCAATCACTATGATTTAAAAATATTTTAAAAATTCTTTTTTTCATAGTATTTCTTAATGAATTTAACATAAAATTTCAAGGCAAAATAGTGCTTTCATGTGAAACTTACACAGTGATAAAATCAGTTCAACAACAACTAAGATTGTTTGAATCACAAGTCATGTCAAATTGCTTCATATACATGTTGTTTTATATACATACATACGTGTGTGTGTGTGTGTGTGTGTGTGTGTATGCTGTGAGAAGTTAAAACACAAAGTGACATTTCCTTTCCTATACATATTGGCAGCAGATATATTTTCCAAGTTAAAGCTACAGTTCTTTTACAGTTTTTACTTTTTCTCCAGTTTTAGCTTTTTGAACCTCAGTACAAGTGCAGAAAATTTAAAAAAAAAATAGCCCTTTTGAAATTCATTGAACTGTGAAACTGATGAGCTTCCAGCTAATCTTAATTGGAAGTGATTCAGCTGCAGTGTAATAACATGCTAAAAGACAAATATCAAGAGAAAACTTTGATACAATTCCATAAATGCCTTCCAAGAAATGAATATGCTCAATTAAAATCAGATGCATATGAACTGATATCAGTATTTAGCAATACCTATCATGTGGAAAGATATTTTCAAAGATAAAATACATAAAATCTGATCAGCATTAACAGATGAACATTTATGAGCAATTTTGATGACAAGGTACTCTAACTTTAAACCCCAACTCAGTGAAATGTTATTTCCCCAAAAGAATTTCATTTGCATTACTAGATCTATATTACCAAAAAAAAAAAAATGTAGAGAGGATTCTGGAAAGATGGCAGAGTAGGTCAGAAAATTCCAAGCTCTCCAGATTTCCTTCACAAACAAGAAAAAATAGTGCCTCAGGACAAACAAAGAGCAGTAAAAATAAACAAGAGTTGGAACAGAATAGTGGTTCTCTTGGGACAATGGCAGATGATCTGAAGAAAAATCCCAGGATAAAATTTGGTCCTTGTGAAGAGTAAACACCCCCAGGCTAATTCCTCTGAAAGAGCCAGCAGAGAGCCCTGGGGTTAACTGGGTTGGGGCATAATCTCTGCCCCAGCCACAGGAACTTTCACCTCCTGAACAGTGTGGGAAGTTGGGTGTCTGAGCTAGAGAAGATTGAAGGAACCTCTGTTGATAAGGGATGCTAGACCCAGCTGTGCAGCCCTAGGCAAGAAGCACATGTTTAATGAGTGCAGTAGCAGTGGGACAGGGACACTGCTGGCTGTGGGCACTTACAGGAGGGTGGAGGTCTTGGTTTTGGTTCCAAGCTAGAGGGAAGAACTGAAGGAGGATCTGAGGCCAGAGGCACCATCCCTCATACCCCAAGACTAGAGGTTATTACAAAAAATAAACTGCTACAAAAAAAAAAAGAGCAGGCAAAGGAGAAAGAATCCAACCACAGAAAGTTACTATGGGAATAGAGAAGATATTCAGAAGAAGATACTGAAGCAAAAAAAACAAAACAAAAAAAACCTCTCTTACCCCAAAGAGTACTGTCAAATGGTCACCTGCCCAAAAAGAATTCATAGAAGAACTTTAAAAAGACTTTAAAAATCATGAGAGAGATTGAGGAAAATTTTAAAAAAATAAGAACAAGAAAAAAAACAAGATTACGAAAAGAAAGTCAACCAATTAGAAAAGGAAATATAGACTCTGAAGGGAGAAAATGACTTTTTGAAAATTATAACTAGGCAAGGGGAAGCCAGTGAAGTTATTCTTATAACCAAGAAATGATAAAACAAAATATAAAGAATGAAAAAATAGGAGAGAATGTGAAATATCTCATAAGAAAAACAGCTGATCTGTAGAATAGATCAAGAAGACAAAACACAAGAATAATTGAACTACCTGAAAAAAAAAGATTAAAAAAAGAATCTTAATACAATAATACAAGAAATAATTAAAGAAAATTGTCTTGAAGCGTTAGAACAGGAGGGGAAAGTAGAAATAGAAAAAATCCAACAATCACCACTTGAAAGAGATTCTACGAAGAAAACCTATAGGAATATCATAGTTAAATCCTGAACCACTCAGCTCAAGGATAAAATATTACAAGCAAAAAAAAAAAAAGCAAACAAACAATTTAAAGATGATGGTTCCACAATTAGAATCACACCAGACCTAGCAGTGGTGACATTAAAAGATGGCAGGTCTTGGAACACTATATATCAAAAAGCAAAAGAACTGGGGTTGTATCCAAAAATATAATACCCAGCAAAGTTAAGCATAATCCCAAATGAAAAAAAAAATAAACATTTAATGAATTGTCAGACTTTAAGGATTTTGTTTAAAAAAAAATAACCTGAATTTAATAGAAGACTTGACAAATATCAAAGACTAATTACAAAGAATTCAATAAAGACTGTTTACCTTTTATATGAGGAAATATAAAATGTATGTCTAAGATAGTTATTAGTAATTGGGTAGTTCATAAGAAAGATTAGGGTAGACCTGAGTATGATATGATTAAAAAAGTAAAACCTTTTAGGAACTGGTAAAAAGAATAATTATTTTATACAAATGAGCTGTGAAAGGCAGAACTGACACAGAGGAATTAGATGGAGGAGGAGGGCTGGTAGTTCCAGAACCCTACTCTCATCAGGAATGTGTTTAAGAGGGATACATACATACATACATATATACATGCATTCATACACATATATACATATATGAATACATATACCCACATATACATATATATGCATATGTATAAAAGTCTTCTAAATTCAGAAAGAAGTAAAAGGATAAGGGGATAGGGAGGAAGGAAAGGATAAGGGATGGATTTTTAGTGGGGAGGGTGAAGGAATTGGATAAGGGGAGATAATAGAAGGGTGTTTAGATTAACAGGAATGTGAGGATAAGGGAGGGATCCCTGGAGGGGATTTGTATTTAAATTTTAATATTTAAGTTGATAATATGTTTCTATTCCTTTTCTTATTGTGTATTTAAGTTTAAAATAAATTAATAATACAAAATTTAAAAAATCTCACCAAAACAAAAAGAAATTATATTCAATTATTATTACTATATTTTTAATTTCATCAATATGGAGTGTGGGAATTTGTTTTCTCTCTTGTTATAACAAGAACATATAATATCCTTGATTTTGCCTCTTGCTCTATAAAGCCTAAAATATGTATTATTTTGCTCTTTACCAAAAAATGTTTGCCATCCCCTGATATAATGGGAAGTACTTACCCCATAGGGTCAGCAAGACCTGAATTTGACTTCTGCTTCAGATACTTACTAGCTGTATGACCTGGTCAAGTCATTCAATCTCTTAGTATCAGTTTCCTTATCTATAAAATGGAGATAATATCTCCTATGACATGGTTATCATAACAGTCTAATAAGATAGTATGTGTAAAGCTCATTACAAACTTGAGGTATCATATAAATGTTAGATATGATGTGAGTATTTTTACAGTCTTATTAACAACCATGCATTATTATTTTTTTTTCCCCAATGATGGAAGGGAGGTGGGAGCATGAAAATGGAGGCTAGGAATAGATTAGGAAAAAAATGAAAGAAAGAAAGAAAGTAGAGTCAATGAATTTTTTTTTAAATGCAGAGAAGAGAACAAAAGGCCAGAAAGAAGCACAAACAGTAAAATTATGTGTATGTGGGTATATATGTATATGTATATATACATATATGTACATATGCATATATACACACACGTGTGTGAAATCTTATATTTTTATACTACTTTGAATATGAAAATGCTCATTTTATTTGGGGTTAAGTTCACATTAAAATGAATTTAAAACAAATATGCTTTTAATATGCATGCCATTATACCATGGACTAAGGAATATTTACATAATGAAATATCTCTGCCCTCATGAATTTTACTGTCCAGCACATTTCATATAAGGTAGAATAGAAATAAATGGCAAGTGTCATGGGTATGTCAAATAACCTTTCCATTATCATCTGTTTTCCCACAGGGCTCTATGGGAAGGAGGTTCACCGAAGTGGAGGCCCTGATCTCCATAACTTCATCTCATCTGGATTTGTCACATTGGGAAGAGGACACACGAAGGGTACAGTGGAAACCATTTTTTACTAAATACAAAGATTGTCTAGGGAAAGTCACTCTGAAACACTGAAGATGGTTTAGAGGCCAGACAATTGTCCTTGACAGGAAAAATTAGGGTGAATCTATTGATGATTATTCCTGGTGATTTGGGATGCTTCCAGCAGAGTTTCCCAAGAGGTAAAGGGTATGACATTAGGGAACATAACCCCTGAGTTGGGATGGGATGAGTAAGATAGATACACCCTGTTCATTTTGGTTAGGGAGCTCTGAGGGGATAGGGTAGCAAGGAATCTGTAGTATTGTCTAAGTGGACCTCTTTTTTTTTTCTTTTTTCCTTTCTAAACTAACAATTTCTCTTCTGATTCCTATACTCTGTATGCATTATGAGTTTTATTCTATAGACAGTCCAGCTTTCCCAGTGTGTGTAGATATGTATATCTTGTACAATATAGGCATAAATCTAGATGTTAACCTGTCCCTGAAGATACAAGATGGAGCTTCTCTACTGAGCTTGTTTGTGATGTAGCTGGTGTTGGCTTCCTGAGCATCTGTGTAGGGAGATGTGGAATGCTGCTTGTTTACATTTTCTGTTTTAACAGAGTCATAATGGTGTTGTGAGAATTCTGTCACTATAGGAATAATCTGGTCCAAATCCATCTGTTTAATTTTCTACCAATCTGTATACTTATGTAGAACCAATGTGAAATATATGCAGAAATATTTGCCTGTCTTCCTCTGGCTGAAAATATGTGTGTTGTTCCATGAGTGAAAAAGGATAATTTGCAATATTTCTTATATTCCATGAACTTTTTTTTTAAAGAATTCTCTATGCAATGTTAATTCTATAGAGAAGAAAAAAAATCTGTACCTGTGTATGTTTTCTCTGTTGTGTCTGTGTATCTAAATAAAGTTTATCAAGGATACAGGTGATACTTGTGGGTACTGGGAGTCACAGGCCTACACCAAGGACCTGAGTCCTACTTATACATGCAAACTTCTGGCTTCCACAAATCCTCCTTCAGCTGGTGAATCTGATGCACAGATCTGGTTTGTCAAAAAGAACTTGGTACCAAGCTGAATTCTTCTCTTAAAAAAAATGCAAGGTTAGGTCAGGAGGATGGAAGGTAGAAGAGAATATGTCAGCAAGTAGATCATCCTTGAATAAACAATCTAAGTAGCACTTAGCACAAATATTAATATCATTTCCCACCTGATAAACCTATTTCTTACCCCATCCCCTCGTGTGTGTATGTGTGTGTGTGTGTGTGTGTGTGTGTGTGTATACTCCCTCTTTTATCCTTTCTTAATCCATTTCTTTTCCTTCTCTCCTGTCAGTGCCATATCTCCATGTCAGTGCCCTTGAATGTTATTTAGCCCTGTTATGGCATTCAGGGTCAAAGATGTTGCTGACTCCAGCTCTAGAATTAAACTCCATTGGTCTACCCCATACCCTATAATGTCGTACAATTTATATGTTGAAATTAAATTCCTCAACTTGCTGATTTTGGCATACAGACATCACTCTGGAAGATTTGGGCCATCTTTCAAAACCACCATTTTATTGGTACCAAAGAAGATTATATAAACAAAAAATACATTGTTGCTTCACTATAATGCTATATTCAAGCTTCATGTTCTACAATATTCCCTAGAGACAAGTCCAACTTGTCACAAGGTCCACTGAGCCTTCATGCTACCATGAATAGGCTCCAAAATAAATCTGACATATGCTGATTTTTCATCTCTGTTGAAAAATATTATAAGATTAAGTATTTGAGACAAATGTAGCCACAACTGATCAAATGTACCAGTCTGGTTCCTTCTCCTCCTAGAAGCCTCTAGTCTTACTTCATTTTAACAATAATGAGATATTCATGTACTTTAACATAGTAAGTCCCTTAGGCAATATTGAACTACCAACCACCCCAGTGTACCACTTCACTAGCTTCTTGGGGTGTCAAGAGTACCATATTCTCAAGGAGTTTATAACTAAATGTTTTGCATTTTCCTTTTCATCTCTTTTCTTATCCTTTTCTGCCTTTACCATTTCCTTAGCCTTAGGCATACCCAGGAGGTCATGTGGGAATTACTAATCTCTGTGAATGCTCCTCTGGGCTGAAGAGGGTGTCACCCCCAAGCTAGGATGATTTGCCTCTCTACCCTATGCCTCACCAAGGCCCTACTCATAAATAATGCTATACTTTGGAGGCAGTACCCTCAGTAAAAGTCATATTCTATACTATTCCACCTCAAATGTTTCCATGTTTGAAGTAAGGTTTAAATAAACATCAAAGTCTTAGAAAGTCAATTAAGTCAAAAAGGGAGTCCTATGGTATATGTAGGAGTGATAAGAAGGTTAGAGGTGAAAAGGGACAAACCTATCTTTTTATGTTGGTCATAATAGAAAGCTAGTTTTCATTTGTCTTCATATTGATTTGTATTTATATGGGACAGGTCTTTTTTTAAAAAAAAAACTTACAAGATAATAGAGTTACCTTAAGTCAGTTCTGATTTAAATAACTCTAGAAATAGCACTGCTCACATATAATCGTAGCTGGCAAATATTCCATTTGGGTGAGCACCTCCTTGGAACTAAGTCAAGAGGAATGCCACAAAAGAAGTGACTGCCAACAAAGATCAAGCAGAGCCCCTGTAGTGCTTTTGCATGATTATGAAAAGCTACTGAGTTTTTCATGGCAGAATGAACCTAATACCCATTTAATGTTTTTCAGAGGCTATATACACGGCACCATAAATTGACTGACCAGTTTAGTCAATTCAATTAGAAAGTCAGGCAGGTGAGTTATATTGGCACATATGCAGCCTGAGCCAGTCTTTCCCAAGTCTCTTTGACTTTCCTCACAGGGTTCTGCACTAGAACTTTCTTAGGAGTTGTAAGTACATAGGACAAAAGTTAATTTAAAGATAAGAGAAGTAACAATAGTAGAACAGGCATTAAGTACCACGGACTAAATCCCACAATCCTCTCACAGGTGACTAAAACTATATGAATGATGAAATTACAGAGTGGAGGGCGGGAGGTATATAAATGAGGAAAGAAAAGATAAAAGATAGAGGGGAATGTGTGTTATAGCCCCAAATATGTCCATGGATGAATAATGAAGGGAAGCTAGTTCCTCTAGTCTCTAAGCAAGAAGATGGACTACTGAAGAAAGTGAGAGATAACAAAAGGGAGGCATTAAATCAAGGATAATCAAAGGCCGAGGACATAACCCAGTGAAAGGAAGGGGTTCCATTGAAGAATATTCCCATGAAGAATAATGTATATCTCTATAATGAGAAATGGTGATTTTACAATGAATCTAATCTGAGAGAATTTTGTGCACAAGGAGAGCCCATCTTCTGAAAGAGTCCATGGTCAAGATCTTGTTTCAGTGAAAAAGGAAAACATATTTTCTGAAACCAACTCACACCCAGAAAATAGAAAGAGGAAAACAAAAAAACAAACAAACAAACGAAAGTTGGATAGGAGAGGAGAAGGAGAAATTTTGAAATAACCGCTAAACTAAGAGAGATAAAAGTAAAAGAGAAAAGAGAGGAAGAATTAGATAACTAACTAAATGAATGAATGAAAAAGAAATCAATAAGTTAAGAAAAACTCCAAAACTATTAAAAAACTTGATTAACAGGAGTGGATGGGTGAAAAGGGAGAGAGAAAAGAGTCTGTGAGAATAGCATAGCATCAAAGTAAATTAAGCAAAACTGATCCTTGGGACAAAGTACTAACAAATAATAACAAAGTACTAACTAAGGGAGAACAAAAAAATTCCAATTAAAAAAATACCAGGTACAAAAGTGGAGAAAACATAAACCTAACTCGTATGACATTAAATGTGAATAAATTTGAATAATACAATAAAAAGAGATTGACAGCCTGTGTAAGAAAACAAAACTTTGCAATCTGTTGCAAGAAATCCATATAAAAAAGCAAAGACATACATATAATAAAAATGAAGGGTTGGAATAAAATTTACTATGTTATCAGGTGAATTTGAAAAAGCAGAAATTGTTATCATTTCTATTACACAAGGTCAAAAATAAAAATTCACCAAAAAAATAGACAAGCCAATATTAACATTAAATATATACTTTCCAAGTGGTATGATGTCTCAATCCAAAGGAAAATTAGCTGAATTGTTACAGCACTGATAATAACACAATAGTAGGAGACCTTACTGTTTCTTTCTCAGAGTAAGACAAATGTAACAGAAAGATAAAAGGGAAAATGTAGATTGAACAAAATAGTGAAGAACTTAGAGTTGAAAGATTTGAGATTCGTTCTGAATGTGACCGCTAAAGAATATCCATATTTATTCAGCATCATATGAACCTTTTACAATAATTGAGCATATATTAAGGCACAGAGAAATTGTCAATATATGTAAAAAGTCATAAATACTAATCATATCTTTTACAGGTTATAATGTAACAAAATAGTGATTCAGTGAACAAAAACAAAACAGAGCTAAATGTAGACAGTAATGAAATAGCAAACAACAAATGAGTCAAAGAACAAATAATAGAAACAATTAATTATGTGAATGATAATGATAATAATAAAACAACCTGCCAAAATTTCTGGGATGCAGCTAAAAAGATTCCCAGAGGAAAATTATATTCCTAAAAGCATAATTAAAAATTAGAATATTCAGCATTCTCTGTGTTAAAACTTAGCTATAAAATGAAACAAGTGGGTGAAATGATCTATAATGTTCCTTGCTACTCTAAATCCATGATCCTATAAGGATTTGTTTACAATATCTTACTCAGAATGTTAGTCCTAAACTGCGAGCTCTACTCAGGAGTGGAAGGCAAAAACTACGTCTTTCCACATCCTGTCAATGCAGGGAACTGTAAGTTGTTAAATGATCCCTGAAGCAGAGATTTTCCATTTTATAGATGAAGGCCTAGAGATGTAAAGTGACCTTCCTAAGGTCACACAGGTTCATCAAGAACAAGGCTCAAAGCTGGGTCCTCTAGTGCCTTTA